CAGGCTGCAGCCAGGGGTCTCAGAATGCACGTCTCATTGGCAAGTTCAAGTGTAAAACAATGCAGGGACTGAATGGGCCTGCAGATGTGTGTTTGTCCAAGACACGACATTAAGGACAGATGGGCCACCAAACAAGCCTGTCACCTCCGTTGCCCTCCAGGGAAGAAAGCACACTGCAAGGCCGGAAGTGTGACCGTGTCACGTCACCGTTAGTGCAGTTTCAGTTCAGACACTGTAGCTCCGTGGAGCCCACTGCTTTCTTATTGTGGTTGTTGACTTTATTTTTGACACTTTATAAATGCTTTTCGAAGTAAGGCTGGGTTCTGTGTATTTCATCGATGCAGTGCTATGAAAGCTTAAGCTGTGCTGTCCCTGGTTTCAGCATCGTCAGCGGCTGACTTCCGGGGGCTGCCTTGACGTCTGCACACGAGGGTCTCACTGCTCCTTTCCCTCGCAGGTACTGGCACAGCACCGCCACCTACGCCATCGCCACCGAGGTGAGCGGGGGTGTGCAGCACCTGCCCCCGGCCCATCACCCCATCTACCAGTGGCCGACGGACCTGCTCAGACCCGACCTGGTCCTGCTGCTCACCGTGAGCCCCGAGGAAAGGATGAAGAGAATCCAGGCCCGCGGCATAGACAGGACCAGGGAGGAAGCTGAACTGGAGGCCAACAGCATCTTTCGTCAGAAGTAGGTGTCTCGATGCGATGTGAGGGGCGGGGGACCCTGGCGTGGCGGAGCCAGGGTCAGCACCGATGTTGGGCATCCGGAGGCAGTGACGTGCTCCCATTTTCCAAACCCAAGAGGCAGAATTCTCCAAGGAGCTCAGCTCCTGCCGATGGCATTGTCACTGTGGGGCTCCAGCACTGATGTCCGGCCAGGGGTCAGACCTTTCTCCTGGTCCTGGCTGTGCCCGGGACAGCATGACCCTGACCAGGACATCCCACGTTTCTGGGTCACGGGTTCCCAGTCATAACATGAGGGGCACAGAGCGCTGTGTGAGGCGCTCACAGTGGCTTTTACCTGCCCGGCACATCACCGCTCATGTCCAGCCATCCTTGCAAGGACAACAGTAGCCATGTTTTACACATTATAAAACTGAGGCCCCAAAATTTAGTGGTTTCTAGAAATTTGCATAGGTGCTAAGTAGTCAAACTGGGATTAAAATCAAGATCTTTCTGATTTTAAGGCGGTGCTTTCGTATTCGTTACAAAGCTACGAATATAATAGCAAGAGAGTGAGCCGTCTTACTGCTTCATGGCTGAGTGTGAAGCAGGAAAGGGTTGAGAATCCACAACAGACTGGTTTATACAAATAAACAATGCTAACACTGTTATCACATAATACTGTTCTAACATAAAGAACAACTCTGCTGTGTGTAGAGAAACCACGTTAAGCAGTTTACTTGTATGGATTCAATTAAACCTCACGACAGACCTGCCAGGAAGACTCCTCAGTTTACAGATGAGGAAACTGAGGCGAAGAGGGGAAGAAACTTGGCGAGCTCGCTTCGCTAGTGAGGATGGCAGAGTGTGGGTCCCAAGCACCCACTCCGGTGCCTGCTGTCACAAGGGTGTCGTGTTTCCGTCATTTCATATACACAGCAAAGGTCACTCTCACTGAGACCAGACGAGGGGCTCTGACAGGAGTTTAGAAGATTCAGAAGTGGAAATGTATGGCTAAACCTCTGGCTTGTCTGAAATCCTTCAGGGCACAGACTGCGGAGACACTTGTCCTTGGGCACATTACTCTTTGAGCCTCTGCTACTTTGTCTGCAAAATGGGGATGGCAGTGGCTCCTTCTAAGGTTACGCTGAGTATGGAGTGGCAATAATCATGCAGTATACTAACGCTCGGCAGATAGTAGGTGCTCAATAAATGCTAGCCAGTAAACATTATTGATTGATTGATTGATTTATAAACATTTTTTTTTTTTAGAAACTTTATTGGGGAACAGTGTGTTTTTCCAGGACCCATCAGCTCCAAGTCAAGTAGTTGTCTTCAATCTGCTTGTGGAGGGCACAGCTCCTTGGCACATGTGGGAATCGAACTGGCAATCTTGGTGTTATGAGCTAACTGGCTGCCCCTATTATCATTTATTACACACAGTGTCTCAGATGTGTCCTGTGGGCAAAACTATTTGTCCAGGGGAGCAATGTGATAAGCCAGGTGGGGACCCTCAAGCTTCAAGCTGTTTCTGTCATGTGGGAGAATCACATTTGCATGAAAAGGTGTGTTAAAAAGTGTGCCAACTCCTTTCCTCCTGCCTGTCCCCAGGGTAGAAGTGTCCTACCAGCGGATGGAGATGCCTGCCTGCCTCGTGGTTGACGCCAGTCCCTCAAGAGAAGAGGTCCTCCGGGCGGTGTTAAGCCTAATCCAAGATAATTGTCACTAATCGTGGCTACTCGGGGCCAGGTGGCACATTTTCCTGGATTTGGTGTTTGATGCACAGCAGCCCCCAACTGGTTGTGTAGTTCCCAGACTTCTGCTTCCTAAGCCTGTCGTGTGGCAGAAAATTCGAGACTGGACCTCTCACTTTTACCTCAGCCATCGTGCTTGCTTCTGACTGATGGACCCGTCCAGGTGGAGACTGGTTCGTGTCCCAGTGGGGGCCTAGTGGTTGCTTTCTGCCTAGCATAATCAACATTTGTTTGGGACGCATTTTTAACTAAATCCCTACCAAAGGCCTCCAAGGTTTTCTCATCCAGCAAACACGAGGTGCACACAAGCAACCAGAAATACCTTCCAAGTCGGCAGACGTCTCCCCGCCTCCCCGCCCCCCCAGCCTTTCCCAGGCCCACACCTGGTCAATGACACCTTGAAGTGGTCAGCGTTCACTTCTTCCAACTCCTAGAGCCACGCGCTCCTGGGGAACATGTGTGTGTGTCCTGGCTGAGGGAAGACACTCCCACGGAGCCGTCTTGTAGGTGGGGATGCTGTCGCCGGAGGCATCTGCCTTGCACGAGCAGCTCACAGTCCTGAAGGGGTCCTCTCGTTAGCACTTCAGAGTCAGAGACAGCCAACCCAAGAAATCCGACGTACAGATCTACCAACCTCATTTGAATTACATGCTGCTGATTTATATTCCTGTCCTTCCCTCAGAATATAATGAGTGTTTTGCACTGAATTACAAGCTTTAAACTTACGTCGATGTTTCCATCGCGTTTTTGCACATTGTAGGGGCTTTGCTTCACTAATGAAAATGGAAGCCAAGAAGCTATTGTAGTGCTTCTTGTGCATTTTCACTCCGCAGATTTCACTAATCTTACTAAATAAGCACAGTGGATCCTAGAATGGGATTTCTTGGTGAATTATCTTGCACTTGAAGGTCTTATGATCGCACATGGAATCAGCTTTGAGAACTGTTTGGCTAGAAAAAAATAGCTGAGGAAAGAGGAAACTTACTGGGTTTGCAGCCTTTGTGAGTCGTTTAACATCAGTAGTCCATGTGACTTGATCGAAAACGTGACAATAATTATTTGTNCCGCCTGTGATAAGGTGAGGGACAGGGAAATGACAGGCATACCGTGAGATCCCACTTTGCTTTCACCAGGTTGGTGAGAACTTAAAAATGTCCTGATCCCCAGGACACTGGCGATGCTGTGGATTGATGGGAACTCCCACATGGTGCTGGCGGGAGCGGGGGCCAGCAGTGACTTGGCGAGCGATTGGAGAAGACATGGCGAAGTGAGAGAAGGCTTCCTTCTCCAGAAGAAACATTCAGCTTTGTTTATAATCCTGAACCTTTGAGAAACTAGAGAACGGGCAAATAAACAGTGGCCTCTTTATGACTGGCGCACCGAACTGCAATATGCACCAACATGCATACATCAGAAAATCATAGTTTCAAATGAAAAAAATCAAGGGGAAGAAAGCGGTACAACAGAATACATGCAAAATAACGTCATGCCGAGTACAGAGGAATGAGGGGGTGTTGAACACCAAGTCAGGAGCGTGCGGGCCTCTGAGAGGGGGAGGGCAGTGCAGCTGAGAAGGAGTACTAGCGAGCTTTGATGGCAGCTGGATTATTTCTTAACATTACGAGAATGTTCTCGTAATGTCTCAGTGAGTTTCGAGAGGTGGACACATCCAGGTAGGGCCTGCCCCCCAAACCCCCGTCCTTCTCTCCCCCGGCCACCACCCATGCTCCTCCCACTGGTGAGCTCTGTGTGGCTTCCGTCACCACAGGCCAGTTCTGCCTGTTCTGGAACTTAACACAGAGGCACAGGAAGTGCTCTTTGCACCTGACTCCCGTCACGAGCCTCGCGAGTTCCTCCTGTGGCTGTGAATGGCCTTTCCAGCGGGCTGGCGCACAGGTGTGTGCAGTTCTGTTGCCTGGAGCCCCAGGAGTGGCCTGTGGGGACATGGGGCTCCGTGTGTTCAGCTGAAGTACGCGTTGCAGAAAGTGTTCTCAAGTGGTGGACACAACTCCCAGCACCCTCCCCCACAGTGATGTTTGGGAATTCCCTTCCGCTTACGTCCTGAGCAACCATTAGCGCTGCCAATCCTTAACTTGACTCCAGCTTTTCTTGTTCTAGCGGGTAACTGGATCAGTTAAAAGCTAGATTGCTGCATCTGGGAACAGAATTTCTACCCTTTCTTGAAGTATCTTTCTCTGTACACTTTTCTATATCTCAGAAATATTTCACAAAGAGATCGCGCTGCGTGTTTGTGTGTGGTGGTGGGTGGGGGGCAGGGCCAGAGAAAAATGGAACAAATTCGTTCGAAGGCTGTGCCGTCCTCTAAGCTATCATGGCAGCAGGTAGTTCTAACTTTGGGGATGGTGAGATCATTATTTCAAAGTTGGCAAGTTAGAAAGACTCTTCGGGAAGATCCGAAATCACGCTTCTTTCTGGGACCTCTTTGCCCGGATAATATTTTTGACCTATTGTGACAGTGCCGAATGCTTCCATGATTGATATCTATTTTCCCCAGTCTTATTTATGTCAAAAGAAAGCCTTGAACTTTCCTAATAGTGTGACTTCATGAGGCACGTTATCTCCTAAGATGTCCAAAATCCCGGCAGCAGCACCAGCTTCTGTGTGTAGGCAGGTCCCCCCTCCGTCCCCCGGGTTTCTGTCTGTTCAGTGGGGATCAGTGTTATCCCTTCCCTGCCGACCACCAAGACGAGTGACAAATAGCCAGTGAGTAGATACAAGCGGAAGTGCTTTGAAAACAGCAAGTTACTGTTAAAATCGACAGCCTTACTACCTCAGCTGTAGGTAATGAATGTGTCAGCGAATTGCATTTAATTTGAACTAATGTGGTTTGTCTGGTGGCAGGAGTGGAGCATACTAAATAGCAGAGCGAGCCTGAAATTGGTGGCCGGAGGGTATGATTATTTAAAATGAGCCGCCGTGTTGTCAGTGAGAGAACTACCCATGGAAAACAGGGCCCTGGTTCTTCCCCTGATTTTTCTTCTTTGTGTCTGTGAATTGTCTGCAATTTTGTTCTTTAAAGAGATACTGCATCACTTTGTCAGGCGAGGAGAAAAGAGCAGTTGTTTTTGTTCCGGTTGGGTTTTGTTCATGTTTAAAGATTTTAATGAAATCCATTTTAGACAACACCATTGTCCCGTTGAAAATCTGTAAGGGAGACAGTAATTTTTGATAGCGACTGCAGTTGAGGTTGGCAACTTAATCACCCTCATTACCTTTCAAAACCTACTTACTCTTGCCTGTGGTTTTTCTATAATAAAGAAGCCTTTTTAAATTAAAATGCTATCAGCCGCTGCATTTATCGCTGAGAATTGAATTCCGTGAGCATGGAGCATGTGCACACCACAGGGCAAAGTATAGTTTGGTTGCTAAGAGAAAGGAAACCTGGACTCTGCCTGGATTTATTCAGCTTGGGAGGCAAGATGCAGCTGATAAAGAAGGTGGAAGTTCAAGTTTGTAAGTGATAAGAGCCAGGCAGGTGATAATAGAATGTTCCAGGCAGAAGCTGAGCTCACAGCTGCAGTGGCTGGAGGCTCTCGGAGCAGGCACACTGTGGGCAGTGGACAAGGGCTTGGAGGGGGGCGTTGGTATTAGAACTGATCAACTCCCAGATTCATTTGTGACATTTGTCCTTTGCAGTACTGTCTGTGTTGTGTTATCATTATTTGAGTGATTCCGGCCTTAGTGTCCAATAAGAACTAGATATTGTCTTGTAATGACAGTGCGATACAGTCTTTCTTATGGAAGGAACAGCTCGCCTGACTTCCGTTTTCCAGATGAGGAAATTGAGACTGTATTGGCTGAAATGACCTAACCGATGTCCACAAAGCAAGTAGGTGGCGGAAAGTGAAACGATATAAAGCTCGGATAACACTGTGAATATATTTTGGAGATACTGCTATGTCCTTTTCACTGTGAAAAGTAGTTGAAATCTAAAATGATTAAGGATTTAGGATTTTAAGACAATGAAGGCAGTAAATTGAAAATACAGCCAAGGATGGAGCCATGGGTACCTTTCTACGATGGGATGTTTATAATTGTTTCATAAGTATTTATGGTAGGTTATAGTCCTTGGATGCTGGATTTGGAGTTTTGCATTTAGTCACTTAAAATTGGAATATGGCATGAACAGGGCAAGACTATCGTAAGCTATGCTAATTAATAAATTCACTCATACCCCCACATAATATTTATCGCTTGCCTGTTGTACGTCAGACACTGGTTTCAGGCTTTGGAATACAGAGATAACTAAACAGGAACTATCTAATGGAGAGACCATACTTGTCCATAACTAACTCTTAATTTACAATGAGTCATTCTTCCATAGAGCCGCTTGTGAAGGGTGTTGAGGGCCTGGGGAAGGAAATGATGAATTCTGCCTGGGGGCTTCATCTGAGTGGGGCTCTGAGGGAAGAGGAGGGGTTTTGCTGCCTGAGAACCTCACTCAGCTGGAGGAAGGAGTGTGGAGACAGCCACATGCCTGGGACCCACTGAGAAGGGTGTCCCGGGTCTCAGCAGGGAGGCTGACCGTTTTCCGGTAGGCTGTGGGAAACCACTGGGCACTTTGAAGCAGAGGGCTGATTTGATTTTCTTTTGTGGTTGTGATTTTCTGTTTCTCCTCCTAATATATATTTAAATACAGCCAGTCAAGAATGACTGACTTCTTTGGGGAGGCGGGAGGGCGGACACAGGCTGCAGCCAGGGGTCTCAGAATGCACGTCTCATTGGCAAGTTCAAGTGTAAAACAATGCAGGGACTGAATGGGCCTGCAGATGTGTGTTTG